TAGTAAAGCATTATATAACAAAAGTACTTTACTTTTCTTTATTTAGTTTGTTGTTTCGTATATCTCACCTGTTTGGGGTATACGACATTTTTAATGCCGGGGCGGGATTTATGCCCAAAGTACAAAGTAGGCAGATTTAATTCAGCGCACTAAATGCAATAAACGCGATTACGTAAAATATGTACCTCATGATACTTGTAATACATGTGAGAAGATTGTGATTATTTATTACTTCGTATACATATTTATCATTTTCTTATTCCTTAATAAAACTTTATAAACACATTTTATAAATTAGTATGTCATTTTACGACTTATTTATATGCATTATTTGTAAATTTTTCATGAGCTATATATATCCCCCGTCCCCCTATGAGCCATATATCTCACTTCTATGGAATATATAGCAAAAATAATGAGTTTAAAAAAATTCATTTTTTAATATAAATATTTCAGATTTGCAATATTTTTTTCATAATAGTACAATGTTTTTACTGATATAATTCGTTTACTTTAAACGTAGTAAATAATACTTAATAAATTAAGATTTTTATAGGAGTGGTATATTCCGAAGTTATCCTAATAAATTAATCATCAAGATAATATAAAAATTATAAACAAAAATTTTAAGATAAATGGAAATGAAATTTATTTATTTTTTTATTTATCATTTTTTCTGGAGTAATAAATTTCATGTTAGAAAACTATAAAAAATTTGTGAGAATTTCTAAAAAGAAAGAAGATTTCTTTTATTATCTCTTCCTATTAACGTAGAAATAAATTTTGTAGTAAGTAAAAAAATAAACATAATTTAAAGATATAATAAAAAATATGATAATAAATAAAGACATAAATAAAAAAATAAATTTTAAAGTTATAAAAATATAATAAACTCTAGCAATCTCAATTTTTCCCGAATACAAGTTCAAGATAGTTTGAAAATAAACTCTTCAAACATTCGCTGAAGATTGAGCTTAAAGAGAAATTCCCGAAATCTTGGCGCATATTTTTAAGTATTGTGAGCCTTCATCTCGAGCAGCGTAGTTTTACGAAATTGAATTATTTACCTGCCATAAACAACACAGGCGTTTAGATTCGTAGCCCGTTTGCTTTCTGCAGCCACGTTCGACGCCATGTTCTCGATACTTACAAACTGTATCGTTTGATCGATATAGTCGTTAGTCGATATCTCAGTCGTCAGAAGTTATACATAAACTGTGCTGCTGTGCTCCAAAATTCTGCATATCTTCTATCGGTAATCCTCTTCAATCTTGCTTTTTATGGTCACGCAATTATGAAAACTAGCTTAACATATCCGAAAAATCATATAAAAAACAATTTTTCATTAGATAATACATTCAAATTAAAAATTCCGAAAGTTTTTATTCTTATTTCTATTGACATTGTTTTTTTATTCATTAACGTTAGTAATAACTTGATAATTGAACTTGGTTGAAAGTATAATATTGAATGCAGGTAGGATTTAATTCAGAAGAATATGAAATTATCAAAGATTGAATTTATATAAGTTTAATATAAGTTTTATAATATAAGTTTTAAATTTAATTCTCAATATATTTTATGTTTAATGAATAAAATCTATAAACAATCATATGATGTATTTCTGGGTTCACCTATAGTTGCAGATCTGGTTCTATAAGATTTATAAAAATGGATTTGTTAAATAAGCTTTGTTTCCATCTTGATTTCTATTATAGATATATTGATGTGTTAATTTCAATTCATTCGCACTGTGATATGATCTTAGAAGTATTTAATTATCATTCAAGAATAAAGTTCACGATTAAGATAAATCGGAATAAATTAAATTTTTTAGATGTTATCCTATAAAAAAGGATAAAAAAAAGGATAATTTCTTAATTTACCACATGCATTGCAAACCTATATCTTTTCCAAGGTACTTAAATTTTTATTCTTTTCATCTTATTTGTCAAAAGATCGGTATAGATTTGATTGATTTGATACCACTAGATTTAATTGTATTAAAAAAAGACTGCGTTGTAAATTAGAAGCATAATGACAGTGGTAATAATCATAATAAAAGTAATTATGATTCAGGTAACAATCAGATTTAATTACATATTTTATCATTCCTTCCGCATGTTCTTATTTTTGCCAAGAAATTCAAAAAATTTTCTAAAAATAACCTTTACACAAGAATAACTTATATTGGTCTGAAAAAATCTGAATTTAAATCTTTAATTTAAAAAGATAAATTACCGACTACTTAGCACTCTAATGTAGTTTACAAAATTAATTGTGGATCATATGAGTCATACGTAGGTCAAAATGGACAGAATATTAAAAATCAGACTTAATAAACATCGTAATTATATCATGCGGAATATCTCTCAACATTCTACTTTTATTAACACAAAACATAGAGTAGAAAAATTGAACATGAATTTGATTGGAACAATGTTGAGAGTATTTGATAAGTACTTGATAAGAAGAAGTATTTGAAATGATTTATATTCATAAATAAGATCAAGATTTAAATTTAGAAAGAGATATAGAATTGTTAGAACCGTTATATTGCCTTTTTGAAAAATCTTGATTCCGTTCCCTCATGTTATTATTTATTATTGTTATTGTTATTATATTTATAAACACATAAAATTTTATCAACGCTCATTAAGTGTACTGTAATCGAGAAATCATTTTATATCGACTTCTCATTACCTATACAGCATCGATATTGCGGAAAGTTTTTAGAAATGTTTCAATCTTTTACATATATCTCATTTGCAACAATTCTAAAAGGATTCTGCAACATGAAATGTCTTAAATCAGAAATGTTTCTAAAATTTATCATAGGCAATAAATTGAAAAAATTATTTAAATAGATTAAAAAATTATGATGTTAAAATGGCTCCAAAATGTTTACTAAAAATCATTTTTTCAATCATTCAGTTTAACGTCATTTTAATGTTATTGTGACTTGTTCTGCTTTAATTGCAAAAAACTTTTGTATACGATAATGATATTGCGAATAATTGTGTGGAAATTGCAAGTGCGATTTTTTAATAGATTATTTATACATATAATGTGATTAATTAATCAAAATCGTTGGTATAATTATTATTTTTGAGAAACATTTTAAGTTTATTTCAATAATCTGTAAACAGATCACAAATGTGACTGGTGTGTGTGTGTGTGTGTGTGTGTGTGTGTGTGTGTGTGTGTGTGGGGGGGGGGGGGACAAAACTCTTAATAAATTTTAAGTACACTAGTCGACAGAAATACTTTTACACAATCAAGATAAATGCGTGTCGAAACACAATCGAAACGTATATAACTTGTATGCATTTCGATTGTATTCGAAATGCATCCATATCTTGAATGTGTAAAGGTATTTCTGTACTTCGCCAATGTACTTCAGAAATGATATTTAAATATATGTTTAATTGATTACTTAAACAATATTTAAATTTATATTGTCGACAGACAGAATAATTAATGAGTAAGGCCGTGTTCCAAATTTACTGCTAGCACTAAAAATGCTACAGTCTACGTTATATGCACTATATATTTTCAGTATTGGCAGTCAATTTTGGGACACAGTCTAAAACGTCGTGTGTTAGTTGCGTTATACATATAATACTGAGATAAAAACATAGAGATGTCAACATTTTTTGAAATGATCATAATACAACGTCACATTCGTTTTATAAAAACTCTTCTTTTGTTTTTTAATAAAAGTAACTTCAGAGATTTTTATTTTTTATTTTTTTTAGTAATTTTTCTTCATCAAGATTCTAATGTTGTTCCAATTAAAATTACGATTGAACTCAATTCTATGTTCAGTTATTACCGAGTGTTGAGTTGTTTTAATGTGATTGCGATGTTTTCCTATTTTGATTTTTAATACTCTCTTTATCTCTTTATTTTTTATCTAATCGCAATCACAGCAATTAATTTTATATATAACATTAGAACGTGAGAGTAATGGTATTTTGTCTTTATGGATTTTAATAAAATTGTTTAATTTATTTAGACTCGTATAAGCTAGTCTCATATATGAAAATTCTCCAAAAATGTTTTGAATTATTGAGCTAAAATCGATACATATGAAATTGTAACAAATTTTTTTAGATTTCCATTAAAAATAGATTTGCTATTATTATTTCAGCATTGGAATTAGTTGTTAAAATTTTGTGTTTAATTTTTTTTAATGTTGGTAAAAATTAAATCAATGGAGTAACCATTTTTTTGGAGAATATTTATATTAATAAAAAATTTTCTTTTTTTTTATAAAAAATAGAATGAGAAAGTGTATAAAAGAGATAATTATTCTGGAAAATATTACACTATTTACAGACTATACTCATGATTGCTTGTTCAAGCGCCATACCTATATTTTTAATTTCAACTTATATCTGTGCTATTAGAATAACGATCGTGATGTTAAGAAAGCATAGCTTGAGCTGTTTATCAAGATTAGACCTTACATTGACTCTAAAAGATTGCTACGTTGCGTTTCGCTATTTGTTATCAGAATATATCTATAAATAAATTAATCGTTGTGTATGTGATAAGAGAGACAAAACTTATGTAATTCTATATATTATATATATTATATAAAATTATATAAAACATTGTATGGTGAAAACGTACACAGATATATACATTATCTTATCATTAAACAATAGCCAGCAATTGTACTGAATTACTAGTTATAGCATTTAATATAGGTAGTGCACAAGAATTGTTTCAATATCAATGTCAAGTTCCCTTTCATAAAAATAATTAAATTGTATTATATTCAACAACTGATAAATTACGAGATTAACCTTTAAGACAATAAATGATGTTTCTGATATACATTGTGCGACATTACATAATAAATGCATAACAAGCTCAGATTATCTACGCGTTCGTCATCTTGTCATTATACTCGTTTATTTCTATCGCTACTGACCGCATGTGTTATTTCTGTGTGATGCAATCGCAATTGATAACAGTCGTTTGACGATGAACATTTCTTGGACATTAAACCACTCAGTATCGTTCAGTCCTTTTCGAAAGCAGTAATATGGCTGTCACTCTCGTATTGTCGATTCTTATAGTTTTGGTGATTCTCTATTTCTTCTTGACGAAAAATTATAAATATTGGCAAAAACGTGGAATACCTTGCCCAGATGGAGCCTTGCCCGGTGTCGGTCACTTCTGGGAAGTCACCACACAAAAGATCACTATAAGCGAATGGTGTTGTAGGATCTACAATGCATATCGGGATCGCAGTATGGTAGGAATCTACAATTTCATGACGCCGACGTTGATGGTCCGCGAACCGGAATTGGTAAAGACGGTGCTGCAGACAAGTTTTACGAACTTTCATGAGAATGGTTTGAAGATCGATCCTAAATTGGATCCTCTTCTGGCGAACAATCCTTTCTTCAACTACGGTGAAAAATGGATGACCGGGAGAAAGCGCTTGACCTATGCGTTCTCCAGCATGCGACTAAAAATCCTGCTCGAGACCGTCAAGCAGGTGTGCCAGACATTCGAAGGTTACCTGGACAAAAAAATAGATAAAGCTGGAAAAGTGGAGTTAGAGCTAAAGGAATTGTTCTCCAGATTCACTTCACAGGTGGTATCTGGTGCTGGTTTTGGCATCGATGGCTTAAGCTTCAACGAAGAGAAAGAGAAAGATTCTTTCTACGCAATGGGCAAGTCCTTCCTTAATTCGACCGTTTTGAACAATATTATCTTCATCCTTGTGTTTTTTATACCGCCGTTGGGCAAAATTTTCAAGGCGAGAATCTTACCGAAAAAGGCTGATCAATTCTTTAGAACGATCATTGCAGATGTTATGGAACAAAGAAGGAAGGAGGCGACACCCAGAAACGATTTTCTTCAGCTGATGTCTGATCTGGAACGAATAGAAGGCGATAAGTTTAACTTAGAAATTCTTACGTCCCACGCGGTATCATTTTTCGTCGACGGTTATGAAACTTCCAGCTCAGTCTTAAGTTTTATAGGCTTCCACTTGGCTAGTAATCCAAAAGTGCAGGAAAAATTACGCGAAGAGGTGATGTCTGTGCTGAATAAATATGATGATGTGATTACTTATGAAGCCTTGAAGGATATGACATACATGGATCAGGTAATAAATGAATCGATGAGAATCTTACCTACTCTGGGATTCCTAAGCAAGGTTTGCACGGAGGAGACTGAGTTGAGAGGGTCCGATGGGCTCGTCTGTCGCGTAGAACGTGGAATGTACATCATGATATCAATTAGCGGTCTACAGACAGATCCACGATACTGGGAGAATCCCGAAGAGTTTGATCCCGATAGGTTTGGTCCAGATAGAAAACACAACATCGAGAAATTCACCTTTCTTCCTTTCGGCGAAGGACCGCGAATGTGTGTAGGAATGAGAATGGCTCAACTGCAGATGAAAGCGTGTTTGGCTACGTTTTTGAGAAAATACAGCATAGAGCTTTCTCCAAAGACACAGTTACCTTTAAAAATGATATCTTCGACCTTCCTGGCCAATGCAGAAGGCGGTCTTTGGAGTATAATCCAGCCGATTTAACTATGAGATTTTATTTACCTTTTTTCTTGTATGAATTTTTTTGGATTGTTATTCAGCCGCAATTTAATTACGAGATTTTAGTTTTTTTTTTAAGTAAATGTGTTTTTTCTTTAATTTACTTTTTTTTGCAATATGGATTTTGTAATATATTTATTTTTGTGAGATTACTTTCCTGATGATAAATATTTTTCAATCATGTTAAATGATACTTTAATACAATAAAAAGAATATTTAGGAATTGATAGGCTCCAAAGAATAAATCAAAGAATAAAAAAAAAATGATGTTTATGCGAGTCAAGTACTGGATGTCTGTGTGTAAAATATTTATTATTATTTAATACAAACTATACATTTTGTATTAAATAACAAATATTTTATACGCGGACGTCCAGTTCTTGGCTCGCATTATTTTTTTTTATTGATACTTTAATAAAGTAATTGTATATAAAAGATAAATAAAACATTATTTTCATTTAAACAAAAACATTATTTTTTTTTAATTTTAAGGAAATATTTTATTTATCCAAAAAATTATAAACTTATGGTCTCTTTAACAGTACAATTATATAAATAAAATTTGTGAAATTTTATTTGAAATTTTTAATTAATAATGCTTCAATTTATTTTAATTTATTTTAATTTATGTTCAGATATTATTGTAGAAAAAAGATAATGTTTAAAACGAAGCATTATTATTACATAACATAACATTTATTGCGCACTAATTTCATGATATAATAGTATGATATAAGTAGCTGGATAATATTGATTTTAAAACGATCATAGAAAACATGATAAGGCATATTTCATAAGTGCGTCTTTTGTTTGCAGATAGTAATAATGTGATGGTAATAATATACACACGCATTATATGAATACAATACACAAATATGAATATAAACAAATATGAATACAATTTATATTCATAATATATTATATGCATATATTAATTATTTCGTGTAATATAGATAATGATTGTACTGGATATAAATTACATTGTATCATAAAATAAATTTTCAGTTATAATTAAATCATGTAATTGTAATAACTGAAACTGTTGACAAAATTATACAATAATTAAGTATAATTTTCTGTTTGTAAATTTATATATAAGAGGAAAGTAGGTAATGTCTGTGTATAGACAATAAAGAATGCGTTTTATATATTACATACAGAATGTCTTTATTAAATGTACCTACACATATTATATACATATGTTGTATAGCAGCACGTTAGCGTATTTTTCTCACCAAAATTTATATATTCTTAGCTGCACTAAAACTACATTCTTATTACATTATTTTACGATGATGGAATACATTATTACATACGTATACATTAAAATGTATCAAATAAGGCACTATACGGTGAAACCAAAGTATAATCAATCTCGCAGACGATAATCATAAGGCAGTTTGCAAGTTAACATTAAATTAATAATCCGGAACATAATATTTCTGCTAAAATAATGTCAAAGCTTGAATGCGTGTATCGTGTAGTATGATATCTTAAATCTCTATCGTTCTCGTATCGTTAAACTGACGATCGATTTGTATTTCGCCAATTAAATCTAGATTCTTTAATCTTAATTCGATGATAGAAAGAAAGAGAAAGAGCGATGGAAGAAAAAAAGAGCGAATTATGCTTGCTTTTGGTGCCGATTTAACAGTAACAAAACAGTTTCTACGACAAATTCTTTAAAAACAAAAAACTTGGAACACGGGCATTAATAGCATGCAACTTCTCGGGATTTAGAGGTAACAATGGTAACTTAACAATAACGTAATTTTGTATAACAATAACCAGGGATACGTAACAAAGATAACAATAACGATTATAGGTATGTCATGGTGGCTGGCCAAGTGTTTCTGACAATTAAATATTTGCCATAGAATTTAGCTGCAAGAAGATTAATTAAATTTGCGATTATTTCATTAAAGAATTTAAAAATGTAAGAATAGAAATGATTTCTTTATTTATGGTTAGAGTATATTAAATTATTCAATTGTTTCTATTGATAATATTATTTTGAATATATCTTTTCCACATATTACGAATTATTTTTAAAAAAGGTAAATTTGGCGAATTATATGTCTCAAATATAAAACTTGAATTTTTATTTTTATTTTCGAGTTTACATTTATTTTTTGGAACATACTTTTTACCGTGCTTGCGAGAATTGTATTTACATCGAGCAAGTCGTAAGAATAAATTTTCATATAAGCCAAAAGAGAAAATATAAGCGTAAATATTATTAATTGCCCAATTGGAATAGATTTGATTGATCGCCCTGCCGTCGCATTGTCAACAATAATAAAGTAATCTGGAAATGTAATGTTTTCATAATAAAATCTAAATAGCAAATATTAATAAAGATAATAATATTAGGGATCGAACAAATGGGTAGGGTAAACAAAAACGGTATTATATTAATAACAAGCGAAATAAATGTGTGTAACGATTATACAATAATATGTTTAAGGCAGACAAACTAATAACTTCAACTGATCAAAATTTAAAATACAGAACATGTTTCAACTTGTATGAACTTTCAACAATGATAAAACGGAAAGATGCGTATCATCAGAATTTATGAGGATTTTTGGAATGTAATAAGAATTTCTATAAATTTTGGAATATAACAGAGCACATAAAAATCAGAAAATAATACGATTTTTTAAATATAAACGATTATTTAAATTTAAAAACTAATAACTTTTTGAGAGGCACATTTGTCAAATTGAGGTAATATAATTGTGATATGTAAGATTTTTCTCTTTTTATTGAAGTATCTTGATTCAAAAATTTTTGAAATATATTTACATGTGAATTATTATTTTAATATTTCAGAAATATAGCGAATATATTAGTATTTAAAGTCAAATAGAATTTTTAATGTCTGTTCAAAATTTGCTATAATAACTGAAAGGATAGATCAAATATTTTTGGAAGTATGAAATGAAAGTATGAATGATAGAGAAATATTTCTGAGTACAAATATTCGACAGGAGTTTTATGAATGTAATGCATTAATGATAATCTACGAACAAAGTATCAACAATACAATCAACAAAGGATTAACAGTGTTAAAGATAACTTTTGGACAAAAATGGGAATATTCGAAGGCTTGGTAACGGGGAAACATGCGATAAAGTAACAGAGTTAAACAGGCTTTAAAAGGAAATGGGATGTAACATCTGATAACGTATTAACAGCAACAACGTGCCAAACAGAAATTCAACGTAAACAACGGGAGAATCTTGGGGAGGAGTACTATGTGGGATGACAAAAACGTAAAATTTGACACAAACATAAACAACAGAAACAATAACATTCAGATAAGCAATATACGAGAAGCATTCAAAAGCAGCATAATACGTTTGCGCGTTGTATCTGAACAATTCTCTTTCGTGAAATATTTTGCATCTCCTTTCTTTACGAAATGTACCTTGAACGCCTTCGTTCGGATTGTATTATCCCGGACAGAATTCAATTTCAATCGTTACTACAGGCAAAGTACAAATCATTCATAACTTTTTACATCGAGTCCAATGATCTTTTATCTGGGTAATTAACATAAACAATTTGTTTCTGTGTAAAAATGTGTATATGTGTTTACTCTAGATCTTAAAATTACATTCTAAAGATATTCAATTCTATAAAAAAACCTATTAATGTAAATTATATCGCTTAACTCGAATGTATAATAATGTGACTATTTTTAAAATTGAAAAAATTTCTGTGTTTGGATGTTTATGGATTAATATATGGATTGATCTAATTAACTAATAGTCTCACAAAAATTAATGGTCTTAAATAATCTGTCTACGAGATGAAGCTATCAACTGTAAATTGATAATATTTGTTCTTGTTAGGCAATTAGCGATATAAAACTTGATAGTAAATCAACGAAAAATTTATGTAATAATTATAGTATTTCGTGAAAAAAGAGATAAATTCGATAAATTAGAGCAATTATTAACTTACATTACAAGCATTGAAGCATTATTAATTTACAATTGACAGACGACATTTCACAACACTAAATATTAGCATCCACGATTTGTTCTTATTACTACTCACAGGGATATTATTCATTTATCTGTGGAACATTTTTGTCTTAACTGAGCGTGCTAGCGATAAAATTAAAAATTAAATCTAAACACGAAATACCTACGATACGATTGTGCATTAATTAAATTTTATATATATGTGTTAAGTAATTAAATAATATTCACGTTCTACATCGAATGAGTCTGTCGGAAAAATAGTCAAAATATGAATTTTAAGTTTTTTCTCTTATTGATTTATTTTATGACTGTCAAACCACTGAATAGTTGAAACTGAGTAGCAGAATTTGAATGACAAAATACGCAGACCCTGAAAGGAACTTGTTGGTTTCGCAAAACGGCGATTACGTTATCATAATTTGCAATGCTTATCAATATATTTTGCAAAATCAACATTTCTTCATATCCTTTCAGCATCTTCGTATAGCTGTCGGAACTGAATCTTTCATTTTTTTGTAACAATAAAACATAAATACTTATCTCAATTACTTTCAAATTACTTTTGTATTCAGTCATTTAACTATTTTTGAGGATATTGTCTGCTTTTAATTTATTATTTCGTAGAACGTATCAAGCTTATTTCATGTTTATTTCTTTCGTTTTCGTTTTCTTTTTTTTGGGAGTTTTTGTGCTTTTCTTTTTTATGAATAAAAAAATTAATGAAAATAAAAAAAAACAAAAAAGAAATTAGAACTGAAAACAGAATGAATAACTGATCAATTCGTGAAATCATCGGAATATAAAGAATGTGTTGAATTCAACAAAAATTAAACACAACATGTTGATGACAATAAATGATATAAAATGATATAAAATTCACAAAGCGCAGCTAAGAATCTAAAGTTATAACATATTTATTTCGGATGAGTCTTGAATATAACATTTGGATGTTTAAAAGTTTACTATTCTTACAATCAGAAAGTTTATATCAAGAGTATCAAGTCGTTATTTATAATTATTGATATAATAAATAGGTTTTTGCAGTTTTATATAGTTTACATATTCATCATTGAGATCGTTTCTATCGTAAAAATGTCTTTTCTTTCTATTTTTATTACAATTCAAGTTACAAAGTTTCTATTATAATCAAATTTGTATCTCTTGAAATACGCGTGCTAACGTAAGACG